CCGAGCCCCCTGCCCCGGGCCCGAGCCCAGCGCGGCCGCTCGGGACAAGCCCGCGGGGTGCGGCTCCCCCGGCCCGGCAGCGCACAGCGCCCTGCCGGCGCTCGGCTCCTCCAGGGCTGCTGCCCGGCCAGCACCAGCATTCCTTCCGCCTTTCCCAGCGCAGAAATTCGCTCCAAATCCTATTAGCAGAGAGGAGGTGAAGGAGGAACAGAGCTGATGCCGTTCCGAAGGTGGCACTGTCCGTAGTGCTGCGGAAGCAGCATCCAGGGACCAGGTCTGCAAGCCAGTGCTGTGATTTAGGGGGCTGACTCTCCCACTGGATGAATTTATTCTTTAGTGCTTTTCAAGGATGTTTGAATGCTCATTAAAAGTACCCAAACTGCGACTACGCTCCCCAAACAGCACTTTTATAAAGTTATCACAGACATACCCCTAAAAGGTGAGCGTAATTCTGCCGAAAAGACATTCCTGGCAGTTATGAGCAGGCAGAAGATCTGATGGAATTTCACAGAATTTGATCAACAGTTCCTTACCATGGCCTTTGCTTTCCTTGCAGGGAGTTTTGCTGCTGATGGGAGTTCAGTCCTGAGCTGCTGCAGCCTCGCTGGGCTATCCTGAGCTGCTGCTGGGCAAACAGGAGCCAGGCTGGCTGGGCTGAGCTCGCTGCCCACGCTGTGCTGCAGTGGCAAACACGAACGAGCAGGTGGAAAAGCAAAATTACATCTCCAAAACTGATTTTTGATGGCTGAAATCCTTGGTCTGATTTCTGATTTCTGTTTCATCTGGACAGATCCAACATCCAGAGCAGAGAACCAGAGCGCTGATAAAAGGAGCGTGTGTAGAGAGATGGGCTTTCTTATCCCAGTCCCTGGGCAATATGACTATTAATAATATTCAAACCTGTGGTTATTTCCCTTTCTTCAGCATGTCTGTCTTTGATTTTTCCCAGTCTAGTCTCCATAATAAGGTGTTATGTAGCCTAGATTTAAGTTGGTTAAGACCCAAGTTTTTTGATCTACAGAAAGTTCCATTAGTTCCCTTTTCCTCTGTTCAAAAAAAAAAAAAAAAAAAATACAAATAATAAATTGCAAAATATCTATATAGGAAATTAAAAAATATAATTCCAATGCTGATGTATTTCATTAGTGATAGTGTAGCTTTTAAAAAAGAAAAAAAAATGAAAATCAATTCACAGGAGAACAAAAAGTAGCTTGCAGATTCCAGCAATACCCACACAATCCTGCACCGTGCTTTGGTTTGGGTAAGTTCTCTTTTCCTGACCAGACAAATCTTCTGTGCAAACTTTCCTGATGGGCTGTAATGTGTGTGCTCCTGGAATAGGGAATCAGGGAGGCCAGGGGGACAGGACTGTGGGAGCCAGGAAACGAAGCCTGGGGGTAACCTGCAGTCACCAGGCAGATCTGCCTGAGATTTGCAGCTGGCCTGACATTTGCTTTTGAGAAAAGGAAATATTTCACTAAGCTGGGGAGACACTGTGGTATTATCAGTGACAAAGGGGAAAAAAAAGGAGAAGAAAAGAGGGGGAGACAAAAAATTACGGCAAAGCACTGAAGCGCCTGGAGAGCGCTCCCGGGGGGCGGCTGGACCCCGGGCAAAGCCCACAAGTCCGTCAGCAAACAGCGCGGCACAGCGGATGGAGCGCCGCTCTCGCCCGTCCCCGCAGTGCCCGCTCAGCCCGGCGGGGTTTCCGCGGTGCCGGCGACGGTTCCCACACGTGGGAAATGCGCGGCGCTCTCCCTTCCCATGGCTTTTAGGAACTGCTGTGTGTGTAGCCAGCCCATTGCCCCTGAAGGGTGCCAGCCCACGGCCCCTGAAGGGTGCCAGCCCATTGCCCCTGAAGGGTGCCAGCCCATTGCCCCTGAAGGGTGCCAGCCCAGAGCCCCTGAAGGGTGCCAGCCCATTGCCCCTCAAGGATGCCAGCCCACGGCCCCTGAAGGGTGCCAGCCCAGAGCCCCTGAAGGATGCCAGCCCAGAGCCCCTGAAGGGTGCCAGCCCATTGCCCCTCAAGGATGCCAGCCCACGGCCCCTGAAGGGTGCCAGCCCAGAGCCCCTGAAGGGTGCCAGCCCAGAGCCCCTGAAGGGTGCCAGCCCATTGCCCCTGAAGGGTGCCAGCCCAGAGCCCCTGAAGGATGCCAGCCCAGAGCCCCTGAAGGGTGCCAGCCCAGAGCCCCTGAAGGGTGCCAGCCCATTGCCCCTGAAGGATGCCAGCCCAGAGCCCCTGAAGGGTGCCAGCCCATTGCCCCTGAAGGGTGCCAGCCCACAGCCCCTGAAGGATGCCAGCCCACAGCCCCTGAAGGATGCCAGCCCACAGTCCCTGAAGGGTGCCAGCCCAGAGCTCCTCAAGGGTGCCAGCCCACAGCCCCTGAAGGATGCCAGCCCATTGCCCCTGAAGGGTGCCAGCCCAGAGCCCCTGAAGGATGCCAGCCCACAGCCCCTGAAGGATGCCAGCCCAGAGCCCCTGAAGGGTGCCAGCCCAGCGCACTCCGGGCACGGCGGTCCCGGGGCGGCGGTCCCGGGGCAGCGGGGGCGCTGGGCGCGGGGGGAGCCGCCCGCAGCCCCTCGCCGCTGCCCCGGTGAGCTCCGAGGTCTCTCCCCGGCTCAGAGCTCCTGCCATCCCGAGCTCCCCGGGCAGGGACTCGCCTCTCCGCCTGCCCAGCCTCCCTCCCTCCCCTCCGGCGGCGCCCAAACCCCTCCCTCGCCCCCCGCCCCTGCGCTCATTCAGAACAGATAAGGCGCCGCCGCACGCAGCCTCCGTGCCCTCCCTCTGCCCCAGCCCTTCAAAAGCTCGGGACCACCGCGGATCCCCGCAACGGGAGAGGGCAGGGCTGGGAAAGGCGGGCGGAGGAGAGGCAAAAGTGGCACGGCAGCGGCGGAGATCGGGGCTACCCGGGGACAGGGGCGTGGGCAGCCTCCGTGCCACATCGATGCTCGCCGGCAGCGGGCAGCGGGCGGGCGGCGGCGGGCAGCCCCGGGCCCCCAGGGCGAGCCCGGCTCCCCGGTGATGGCACGGACCGGCCGCCGCCCCCGCAGCCGCTCCCGGCGCCGCTCCTGCCCCCGGCCAGCCGCCCCCCGCAGCCCCGGCGCGACCGATGCGGAGCCGCTCGTAGCAAGTAAGTTACGATTCCTTTGTTATTCCAGGTCACTCCCGATCTTCCCTGGCTGCGAAGGATCGGGACAAACGCGGAGCTGTTGGGCCAGCGGGATGCCAGGCTCCTGTGCCCAAACCTGCCCGGCTCCTGCCTAACTCACAGCTGCCACGGAACTCTTTGGGAAGGCAGGGATTGGATGCTGGTCTTGGGCAAAAGCACTATCAGATCTAAAGGTGTGATGCAGGAAAAGACATTAAAAAATAGGAAGTGCTCAGATACAGGATTAGAGGAGATCACTGGAATGCAAAGGAGACTGATCAGTGAGCAGCCCTGAATTATGGAGCGACTCCATAATTGTTATCTGGAGCCCAAGATTAAATTCTTTCATAATTAGGATACTTGCCAGTCAGCTTGGAGTTACAGAGCCCGGCAGTGCAGTCTCCAGATGAGGAAGTGGCATATTCAGCCCTTGGAGGAGACAGGGAATGCAAAGCCCTGGGAATCCCTCGGGGGTTATGGCTCTGGGAGGTAAAAGCATGACTAATTTTTTTTACCAATGTCCTCTTGCATCACTCAGAAAGGTGCCTGGGGTTCTCTTTGTGCCAGCACATGGTGGTTGGGAGCATCAGGTTAACTTTTACACAGCCTCTCTCCCTTGGGTTTGAACAGGGAGTTTCAGGAACCTGCCAAGAACTGGCAGAAACTGACCCTGTCCCAAAAAACTTACCTCTGGCTGTTGGATATGCTCATCAAGCAGCTCCTTCCTCCTGCACCCTTTTACTTTAAAGTAGACCTTGGATTTGTGGAAGAGGAGCTCGGAGGGAAACCAGACTGGCTTTTCTCACTGGTTCTCTGACCAGTCCAAGCAGCCAGGATCTCCCTGAGAAGGTGGGGAGGGTGTGGGGCAGTGTTTGTGCGGGGGGTTATTTAATTTCTGGGCCTCACTTCTTTGGCTCACTGTTCCTACCCAGTTGGAGATAAAGGATCAAGACAATTTCTGATTCCCATGGGAGAAAATTTTCCATCTCTGGAAAGTTCCAGCCCAATTATTTGCCAAAAAAAAAAAAAAAAAAAAAATATTAAAAAAAAAAAAAAAAAAAAAAAAAAGGCAAACAGATCTTTGGAGTAATATTCCAAGGCAAATATCCAGACTCCACTGTTTAAGTTGCCCACTTTCTGTTGGCTTTGGGGTCAGGAGAGGCCCTTGGACGCTTGGGGTGAGCAATGGCCCTTGCCCAACAGATTGGGATGAGGTTGGTTTGTCCCTCTGTGACTCTGACCCCTTTCTGCAGTGGGTTCAAGCAGTGCTGAAGGCCTTGGGGCAAAAAGAGCCTGTGTTTGGTAAATCCATCTGTGAACTCTTTGGGTGCAAGGTGCTGCAGAAATGTGAAGTGGTTCGACAGTTTAATTGTATTATTTAAAGTTTTATGGTATTAAAAACAAAATACTGTAATTTTTAAAGCAGCTGCAGATCAGCGTGATTCTCTGTTGCTGCGATGGTAAATTCCTAAACAATGGAGAATGGGAACATTGCTGCTCCTGGGGCAGGATTTTCTCCTAGAACTGGGATTCTGCTTTCTCAACATTCAGTGTTTGCTGTTCAGAGTCAACAGCCAGGAGCAGGAGAAACAGGAGTGTCTGATCAGGACAAAGGCGTCCCTGTCTTTGTTCAGTTGTGTTGGATGAAAGACAATGGTCAGATTTTCAATGCCACCATAAGGTGTCCCTAAAATAGAGTGGGGTGAGAGGCCAGGGACAGAGACGCTGCAGAGTGCCTCAGGCACAGTCACTGCCCTGGAGGTGGAAGGATCTCAAATTGATTTATTTCCAGGCTTTATTTGTTGTTGGTAGAGAAAATATCATTTGACTGTTCCAAATCATGGACAACACCCAAGAGCACAATATTGTGGTTGCATCCTTTGCACAGGCACTGATCACACTCAAGGTCTTTAATGCAATGAAGAACAAGAGAATTGCCTGGGAGTTACATGGATTAAATTTTCCCATCCTTCCTGTGGATTGGTAGGAGATAGTCCCAATCTTATAGAAACTCCATGTTCTCCAGTCCTTGTGCTCTAACAAGTTGTAAAAGCCTGAATGATGCCTCAAAAAATGTTTTCTACTTTTCATCTTCTTTTTCTGTAAAAAAAACCTTACTCAGTCTCTCTCTTGATCACAGTTTTGTTTCTCTGTTCTGTATTGGTCTGAAGTCATTATATTTAATGCAGCTGTGAACTTGTGATATGTGTGGGGGTTCTTATACTTCAATCCATAGTTGAGGGGAAAATGTATTTGAAACCTGTAGCTATTTGAGAGACCAGAAACTGCCTTAGTTGGCTTTGGAAATAATCTTGCTGGGTTATTCAAATGGTGGATCAGGCTGTGGAGGCTCTGCAGAGAGATCTTAAGACACACCTGAAGCAGACAGGGACTGCATTCCCTGCTGTGGGAGTGGGGGAAGGAGGAAAGAGTTCTCCAGTGATTTCAGGGGCTCATTTAGGATTTTGGAACTGCTAAATTTAATTTCTGCCCTGCCACAGACTACAAATTGAGTGTTGAAGAACTAAGTGCCTTTGTGAGTGATTCCCCCATCCTGAAATAGGGGACATAAAGCCCTTCCTTGGTCCAGGCCTCTTAGAAAATACATAAATAAAATTGTACAGCATGTGATATCCGTGCTGAGTGCTGAGTATCCAAAACACTCGGATACTCTGGAAGTGGGAGAGTCACGTTCCTCCCTCAGAAATGACAGTGGAAGGTCCCCAGATACCAGAGGAGAAGGATGGATTGGTAGGTAACTCACAGGTAAAAGGGACATGCAAATGTCCATAAGCCCTTCCTTGGGGTCAGATTGGCTCCCTGGCCAGAGAGATTTCCTTTGGAAAGACTGAGCACCTTCTGTTGGGGTATTCTGAGCCAGGGGCACTCTGAGCACACAGAAGCTGTCACAGCCCAGCTCTGTGACAAGCACAAAGCCACCCTGGCCCTTCAGGTTAGCCAGCAGAGCCCATCTTTGTGACCTGGCAGCAGGGTGAGGCCTCCTCCAGCTCCAGAGGAATCTGCTGTCACATCCTGAGTGCCAGGAAAGTCATGCTGAGACTTATCCAAAATTCACAGAGGAGATGAGGGGCACCTTCCCACCTCAGTGCTGGGTGAGGTGACACTTGGAGCGACAATTACTGGGGTCAGGGAGCTTCGGAACCACGTTTGTTTGTGAAGTGCCTCAGGTCTCCCTTCTTGTGCAGTGTCTTTGAATCTTCTTCCCTGGCTTTCAAGAGCACAACTCTTCTGCAGCCTCCCCTCCACCTGTGGATCCCCAGGCACTTCCAAAGAGGCAGCCACCAAAACCCCAAACCTCTACTTACCTGAAGTCAGAAAGATGGAATATTCTATGGCTTCCCCCAAATCCACCTGGCTTTCCTCACCTCGCTTGCACAGGGGTGTGTGAAAAGGCAGGCTGGTGGGGCTGACTGTTCAGTCCCACTCACACATGGGCAGGGAATAAAAGAATGGAGGAAAGATGCCTTTCTCAGGGAAATCAAAGCCCCACCTCAGTCAGAGCCTAGCCCAAGTCATTTTTCTTCAGGTTGTCAAAGGCCATCTTCTCCTAAGACTTCTCCTTCCTCCATCTTTCCATGAGCACTCAGTGCTCAGCAGCCAATGCTTTTATTCTCTTCCGGTCCTGCTGCTTTAATTTCCTTTATTCCTGCACCTACTTCCCTGTGTTGCTCCTGTCTGACAATTAAGAATTCATTCCCTTGCAGCACTGTAACCTAAAGCAGAATTATATGGCCCAGAGGAACCTGGGCACAGTAACCTGGTTTATGGGGTGTGGGCCAACAGGCAACAGAAGAACCAGGTCAGGTTTTTCAGCAATCTCTGTTCAGTATTATTGGTTGCTTGTTGAGAAGTACAGGACTCATTGTCTGGAAAAAAAGAAGATAGGGTTAAGTGAAAAAAACATTTTTTTTTTCTGGGAAGTTGTGGGAGGTTTGCTAAAGAACAGTTGCTCAATTATTCTCCCAATGTGAGAAAACACAGGCATCAGGTTTAAAAGAAACAAAAAGAAGTCTGCTTTTACACAAACTTGATGACAGATTCACATATTTAAACTCCACCTGCCTGCCAGTTTAGTCCTTTCCAGCATCAAATCCCATCCTCGGGGAAATTTGTGTGTTTACTGCAGCCAGATTAGCAATTGTTTAAATGGAAAAAGCCCCCTGGTCAGCAGGGTAATAAGTTTCTTCAAGTGTTTTATAGTTTTGCCCTCCTTGCTGTCCCTGGCAAATTGCTGGACCTGCCAGGAGCACACCAGCTCTGTCAGGAGGGGTTGAGAGCTGCCTTGCCAAGCACTGCCTTCTGGAGATTCTCACCTGACCCCAGCCTGACTCCTGTGCAGCAGATCCCAGCTCCTAAATGTCACTGCCTGCCCTGAGTGTGTCATCTGGGCAGAGCTGAACATCAGCAGGGCTGATAAAAACCTCTCTGCAAGGCTGATAATGCACTGACTCACAGCTCCTCATGCAGTAGCCTGTCCTAAAGGAAGGCAGCTTTGTACAGAAGTGACATTTTTATTATCCTGGCCTCGTTTAACCAAAGCTGGTAAATGCCAAAGAAACAGAACAGTGCCTGTGACTAAAAGAGGCAGTTTCACCCCGTGGCTCTCTGTGCTGGAGGGAGCAGGGATTTACAGACTGGGCCCGAAATCCCTGGGAGATGCATGAGCAGATTTACCATGATCTGGCAGAGATGTTTCTGGCTGGCAGCAGTGGCTGGACACTGCACAGGGAGGAGTTAACCAGGTCCTTACCCAGTTACACTGCTCCTTCCAGAGCATCTTGTCATTTGGGCGAAAGTTCCCCAGGGCAGTTAAAATCATGAAAGAATGGCAGCAAATTTTCCAGAAGATTCTGGTGCCTGGGATCTCACAGACCATTCATGTCCATATCACAGATTTTACTGTTGAGGAATTAAGGCATAAGGAAGAGCAGTGATTTGCTCAGAATTAGAAAACGCTGGAATCATTTGGAGCAGAAAGCTGGGTAGTGTGCAGCCATCCAAAGCTATGCTCAAACTGCTAACCAGGAGCATTCTGTTAAAGACTCTGAAGCAGAAATTCATATGCTTAATTATTTTCAGTAACCACAGACTGAGCTTATTCTCATACTACAAATGGAGAGTTAAAGATGAAATATTGGTAGGAATTGTAATGCCACTGAAGCTGTCAGTGAACTTCTTATCCACTGGGTATTTTTTTGCTTTACTGGATCACTTGGGAGGTGCTCCTGAAGGTTTGCAGAGATGTTTCAGCTGAGCTGTTGCTGGAGATCAGTAACACCACCAGAGATGATGCCAGTCCTGTGAGTGTTTTAGTTAAAAAAGTTCCTCAGCACATGCATTAATGGGCAGTTCATCAAACTTGCTCCACCACAGTGATCTTTCCAGGGATTCAGGATTTTTGGTTGCTTTTCCTCTATTCTGTTCATTGTAATAAGTTTTAAGATGCTTTTGGTCTCTTTGGTGTGAACCTAGAACATGAAACTCTAGATTGAAGTCTGGAACTGGATTGTTCTCTCTCCCATGGTGCCAGTGATAGCTTCAAATTTACTGTTACAACAAAATTATCTTTAAAACAAGTGTTTTAATTGAAAGCAACAGGCAACACTTGCCTGGTTTTACATTTAGATTGATGACAAGCTTTTTAGTCCAAATTGAGTAATTTTAGATTAATCAATCAATGCGAACATACATTGAGAATATTATTTTTAAGAAGGAAGTAAGGAGGTTTTTCACTACCTGATTTGCAGTGGATGGGAGGCTTCTTTCCCTATTAAAGAGAGGGGGAAAGTGCCTGATTGTTCTGCTGTGTGCTTTCACATGTTGGGAAGTGAGTCCAGCTGTGCCCCTGTCACTTTTCAGCATCTTGCACCACTTTGCACAGGTGTAAAGAGACAAACCTCAGAGAGCAGAGAGAGCCAGGCCAGCGGGTCTGGAGGCTTGCATTGCAGCAGGCAGTGAGAAGCAGCTGAGGATGAGTGTGAATACACCCTGAGCCAGCTCGCAGGAGGGACAGAAACAGTGTTGGGGAAGATGAAACAAGAAAGCCTTGGAAATATGATTGCCTGGCAAAAGATTTAGGAAATACAGAGATTGAGATGGTAACAAGTTGTGACATACCAAACCTTAGTTACTGCACAAGTAGAAAACAATAGTACAGCCAGGATGAAGACAATCCCCCCTTCTGGTTTAACAATGCCCTTACCTACAGGGAGGTCCAAGGGTCAGATGGACTGTTGGATCCCACCCCAATGTATGGTTCATCCACACCTGGAACCCTCCCCTGAAGCATCAGGAGTCTGTGACCCCATTGGCCCAAGTCTTGTTCCAGCCCACCTTGAACCCCCTGACAAGGAGTCCCTGAGGAGCCAGACACCCTCTTGGAACTTCCACCCTCTTGGAACTTCCACCCTCTCCTGGAGCATCCTCTTATCTCCCTCTACCCCTTGCCTCTCCTGTCCCCCACGCCCTAGGGCCTGCCACGGGTCACGTCTGGTGACTCCAAGCAGGGTCTTTCACCCTCTCTAATAAACCAGATATTTCAAGAGCAGCCCTCAGAGATCTCTGGTCTCCATCCACCCAAACCGTCCAGGAACCCAGCTTCCCCGCAAAACAGGGCAGGGGTGACTCTTGTGTCAAAGTCCTGGCTGGAGGAAGGGAACACACAGCACTGGGGTTATCTGCCCCATGCCCAGGGCGGGTGGCAAACCCGATCCCCCTGGATTTCCCATCCCAGCCCCAGGAATGGCCGTTCCAGCCCCTGGCGTGGCTGCAGGGCTCAGCCTGCCTGGCCGTGCCATCGGGGGCCGTGGCAGCGGGCAGCAGCGCTGGCACAGATGGTCGGGCGCCCGCGGAGCCAGCGGGGCCGGTGCCAGCAACAGGCTCCGGCTGCTTCGTTGGAGCTCTGATCGATGGTGACTTAGACAAGGGCCACGAGGAGCTCTCTGCCATTAACCAGACTTGGCTGCAGCCGAATGGAAGTGAAAATTTGTTGCTTCATTTATTCATCCTGCCTCTGCTTCCTTCCCGCCCACCCTTTGTGCTTTTTAATACCAAAAAGATGGAGCTACTTTGCTCTGTCTTAAAAATTGTCTCTCCCAAGATACTCTTAATTGTATCTCTACACCTTTTCTCATTCACAGGCGCATAAGAAGATTAAAGACAGAGGGAGCAGTAATAGATTTAGTTAGGTTTTAATAGGATTTGCAGAGGACAATACAGGGAATGAACACCATAGAAAATATTGCTGCTCTATCTTTGATATCCCTAAGGCTCCTTAGGTAGTCTTTGACAGAGATTTTGTCTGTGCCCTGCATCCAGAGTCAAGACTCTCATTTTTCAAAGGAGTATCTAATCATCTCTGTAAACAGGATGTTACATTAGAACTGGCAGACAGCATTGCCACCCTCATCTCGTGTTATTTATTTGTATCCTGGTAAGCATTACTCTGAATGTCGACAGTGGGCTTTTTAATAGCTCTGATGCATTCCTAAAAGTGCCCAGTGATTTTGTCTAATGTCAGGTGGAGCAAAGGGGTGAGCTCTGATTGATCTCATTAACAGCAGGCCTGGATTCATCACACCCTCACACGTGGGATTCAGGATGCTCAATTAAATGTTTATTTCACGTTTAAAACCCAGGCTCACGAATAAACTTCCAGAAGGTGATTCAGCACTCCTGAAATCTGAGTTATCCCTGGAGATGCCTTTCTCTGCTGACTGCAAGGGAAGTCTTCATGCATAATTTAGACTCATGTGAGATTTAGGTAGACAGTGGTGCTCAGCAATTTCTCTTAATTTCTAAGCTTTCTCTTGATATGCACCCAAAACCTGAGGCATGAAAAAGTTCCAGTCCCTTCTGAAAATATGTTGATGTATCTTTACTTTGTTCTGAGTTGTGATCTCAAGCAAATTTGGTGTGTAAAAAAATCTAAGGACAAAAAGAAAACCTCCAGATGTTCTGAGGTGTGTCCCACGCTCCCACAGCGTGCCCATCGCCCCGGTTGCTGCTGATGTTTGAAGGGCCTGTGTGTGATAAATCCGTCTTTAACTCTGGGTCACTGCAGGGCTGTGTTTAACAAGTGGCTGTTGTGGGAGAAGTGTGAACCCTCCAAAACCAATGTCCTGACGGTCCAGACAGTGAAACAAAATGGTTTTTTTCTCTTTGCCTTCTGCCTGAAGCTGTCTTTCCTTGTTGTGCAGCCCAGCCATGGCTGGAGATTCCCGGATCTTCATGAACCAGGACATGGACATCGGGGTCACATCCCGGGAGCCCAAGAAGATCCCCAAGCAGGCTCGGGACGATGTCCCCATTGCCACGGACAGGACCCGGCTCATTTCTGCCGAGGGGAAGAAGCCACGGCAGCGGTACATGGAGAAGAGCGGCAAGTGCAACGTGCACCACGGGAATGTCCAGGAGACCTACCGGTACCTCAGCGACCTCTTCACCACCCTGGTGGACCTCAAGTGGCGCTTCAACCTGCTGGTCTTCACCATGGTGTACACCATCACCTGGCTGTTCTTTGGGTTCATCTGGTGGCTCATCGCCTACATCCGGGGAGACCTGGACCACCTGGAGGATGAGAACTGGATCCCCTGCGTTGAAAACCTCAGCGGATTCGTGTCGGCGTTCCTGTTTTCCATCGAGACCGAGACGACCATCGGATACGGCCACAGGGTCATCACGGAGAAGTGTCCTGAGGGCATTGTGCTGCTCCTGGTCCAGGCCATCCTGGGCTCTATCGTCAACGCCTTCATGGTGGGATGCATGTTCGTCAAGATCAGCCAACCAAAGAAGAGGGCGGAGACCCTCATGTTCTCCAACAACGCCGTCATTTCCATGAGGGATGAGAAGCTCTGCCTCATGTTCCGGGTCGGGGACCTCCGCAATTCCCACATTGTCGAGGCTTCCATTCGAGCCAAACTGATTAAGTCCAAACAGACCAAAGAAGGAGAGTTTATTCCCCTGAATCAAACTGACATCAACGTGGGATTTGACACTGGAGATGACAGGCTGTTCCTGGTGTCCCCTCTCATCATCTCACATGAGATCAATGAGAAAAGCCCCTTCTGGGAGATGTCCCGCACCCAGCTGGAGAAGGAGGAGTTTGAGATTGTGGTCATCCTGGAAGGAATGGTGGAGGCCACAGGTAAGGAATCAGTAACTGTTTTGAGGAGGAAAGGGGCACAAAGCATTGTAGGCAGTTTGGCATTAGGATTTCACTGTCCATGTTACCTGGAGTGGGAACGCAGTGAAAAGTTGGGCCTTTAGTTCATTCTGTAGGGTTTCACCCTCTTTTTTGTAGTGTTTCACCCTCTTTTATCAGTCTGAGATTGAGTGAAGGGGTTAGTCCTGGAGCTGCTCATAATCACTTAGAACTGATCTAGGGGAGAAAAAAGCAATGAATTAAAGGAATTCTTGAAGTTTATGGTGGTCCTGTTTCCTATGCTCAAAATTCATGGTGCAAATCTTCTCCCATTTCTCCTCTGTATTAAAGATTGGCTGTAACTGTGCTATTTTAGGTACTGCTGTAGTGTTGATTTTAATGGGGGCTATGAAGTGCCCAAGTCTCACTGTATCCCATAAAGCAGCACGTGCTGAGGCTGAATGACTTGCACGTGGTGCAGGACACACATTCCCAGAAGGCAGAAACTGCTTTTGTGACTCTTGCAGCCCTGCAGCTGCTTAACAGCTCAGACAAAGCTGGGTAATGGGAGATGAGGAGATATCCTCAGCCCATTCCCAGTTTCTCCTAGGGGTGGATTTGTGGCAGGCTATCAAAGAACTCTGTGTCTGTGTATAGGGACTCTGGAAAAGGGTTAACCCTCAGCTTTCCATGGAGTGGGAAAGGCAGCTGAGGGGAGGGATGGGCACAGAGGCTCCTTCCCACGGGAGCTCTGGTTGCCCCTGGCAGTCATTTCCATGGGTCATTTCTACTTGCATGAATGCCTTTGCTCCAGGCTTGGGGAGGAGCTGGCACCTCTTCCTGCAGCACTTGCAGCACAGCGAGTGCCACTGAGATGCTCAGGTGCCTTCCAAGCAGGGTTTTTCAGCCTGGGGCGGGTAGGATGCCTTGATGGAATCAGGGTCTGCAGGGGGGAAGGGCTGCAGGCAGCTCTGAGGAGAGAACTGCTGGCTGAAGATGGACAAACAGTCAGAGATGCAAAAAAAAGCTTTTATAAGCAGTTTTCTCCTTTGGTGTTTCAGGATGTTAGTTATGAGCCCAGTTTTCCTGTGGGTGGTGGTTGAATTTTGTTTTCCATCTCAATGAGGTTCTCTCTGAGTCATTACCAGGGGTTTTCAGCTTGTTATAAGTACTCAGTGGTGTCAGCACCCTGTCTCACAGATTCTGTCCCTTGATGACTGTTAATGTTATCCCCTCCTGGAGATTTGCCATTAGTTATAACAGCCAGAGGAGTAAAAAATTCCTGCATCCCAAACCTTTGCTCCCAAAGGCAGCTGTCCAGAGAGGTAATTCCATGTCCCAGAGTCTCCCTTTAGGTGATCAGCAGTAGCTGAGCTGATGTGAGGTGATGGATAAATTACATTCCATTGGGGCTGGAATGTGTGCTGTGGAAGTGGAATTCACCTGGCATTTCCAAGGAAATGCTCTTCCTCAGCAGAGCACTGTGGAGACGTGGCAAAGGAAGGGGTGGGTGGAAAAGACTATCAAAGGCAAGGATTTGTAACAGTGATTTACTCTGCAGCCTCAACACTCATTAGAGGCTGGAGCCTCCTAACCTGAGCATGGAATGCAGCTCCTTGTTGGTCCAAAGCCTCTTTCCTCTTCACACAGTGACACTGTGACTGCCTTGGGCCTCTGCTGCTCTGCTTTCCTCGCAGGAAGGCTCAGCCTGTGCTGGGGATGTGTGAGGGGAAGTCATTATCAATAACAACCTCGGAATTAAAAGCATGGCAGAGGAATAATATCGCCTTACAAATGGGCTCCTCTCCCAGAGGGATTGCACAGGCCGGGCTGTAAGAATATTAAGGAGTGTACATCTGTGGAAATTAATTATCCTGGGCTCAGAAGGCAGCTTGGGAAGTCCCACCCTGGAGCTGGAGGAGGCATTTTGCACGAACTCAGAGCTGAGTGGGCCTTGGATGATTCCAGGATCCAGTCTGGAGGCTGGGATGGGTTCTGAGGGACCAGGGGAGTGGGATATTTTGTGACAAGAAGAGTGGCTTGCAGAGGCAGTGTTTGTGCTTTCCTACTTCATCCTCACACTTGGGAATATTGATAAAGCAGTTTGGGGTTATTAATCTCTCCCTCCACACCTTAAAATCTGCTCCAAGCAAATTCTTAGGTACTTCCCAGGCCACGACATTGTTCAAGCCCCATCTGCTCTCAGGAGTGGTGTGATATTTACTCCCAGCAGGACTTCTGTTAAATCCTGACACTGTCACAGCTTGGTCGGGTTCAGGGCAGTGTAAAATACAACAGAGCATTTGTTCCCTTAGCAACCCCTACGGAAAATTAGGACACCACCCCCCAGAGTTCAGAGGTACCACTGGTCAGAATATAGAGCTCTATTTTCCATAAGGTGTTTGGAAAGCAGGTCAGAACGGTGGTTGTCAACATATCAATGGCTACAGGAATTGAAGCACGACTAAAAGTGGGGATATTTTTCACTGATAATTTGGGACAGTGATTTTATAGCTATTTCAGTAGATTTAACCAGGTGCACATGTATTACAAATGTAACGTATTGTCTCATCTCAAACAAGCAGCTCTATTTACTGACATTTAAGTTTAATTCTGACCCAGTGCAAGGCAAAGATGGTAAATAGCTTCAAATGAAAAGTGTAGAGTAAATTCTGAGGAGTTCACACCCTTCAAGTCATTGGGTTTTTTACAAAGTGAAACACTGTGGCTTAAAACAAAAATTTTCTGTGTTCAAGTTGCCTTGGCTTTTCAAAGGCCTGAATAACAGCGCACTGAAGAGCAGCAGCTCAGCAGCCAGCCTAAAATGCAGTGGGTTTATTTGGCTGAAAAGGATAAAGGAGCTGGTGTCAGTGCAGTGAGAGCCGTGCGGCACAGCTGCACGGAGTGACCCTCGGAGGCAGCGGGGCACGAAGCCAGCTGTGGCTTTTCCATCCATCTCTGGCATGGGTGAGGCACTGGGGCTCCAGTGGAGGGAAAAGGCCAAAGGGAGAGTGAGCTTCTGGGCAGATCTGTTATGGTCATTGCTGGGTGAAACAAGCACTTTGAAGACAAAATCCATCTTGCTGACAAGTGTTCTGACTCCCAGGGGCTCCCTGGGCTTTGGGGGCAGCAGCAGCATCAGTCCCAGCACTCCTGGTGAGATGGCACAGGTATTCCTTCGGGGAATTCATTATCTTTGCCTTGTCAGAGAGGGACTCTTGTCAAGATCAGCTGCCCCAAATCTGACTTGCAATAAAAGGGAACAAAGGAAAGGTGGAAAATCTGTTTGTACAGTGAATACATTTTTGCTTTCCCTGCCTCTGCTGCCCAAAATCTCAGGGCCACCCTGGTGACGGACTGCTCCTGGTTGCTGCTGGCCAAAGCTCCTGCCCTTCCCCTGCTGAACCCAGCCTGAACAGAGTGTTTAAAAGCTGCTGGGACAGGGAAAAGGAGGGGAGGTGCAGTCAGCTGGGTTGTGATGAAGGATTTGGCTGATCCGGTAAGGGAACATTAGCAAGTCCAATTTTTTAAAATACTGTTTTTCTCTGTAAGCCATCACTGCGTGTGCTGACACACTCTGTATATCCTACAAGACTTCCTGGCAGGTAATTTGAAGGGACTCTCTTCTCTTCCAGCTTTACCCTTCCTAGGCTCTTTGCTGACAGTTATCCAAATCCTGGATCCAAATCCTGGACCCAAATCCTGCTTCTCCCGTAGCTTCCTGCTGCCCTCGTTCCCTGGGCACAGCGTCCAGCACTGCTGCTCCTGGGCACGGAGGCAGCAGAGCTTGCTACTCCACTCCTGGTCCTCCCTGCTTTTCATTGCCTCTTTTTCCCAGCACAAATAAGGCAAAAGAAACACTCCAGATGCCTGATTAGTCCAGTCACTAAATGAAGTTTTAATGAACTCTTATGTAAGTACAGGTATATATTTTTCTGGCTTAGAGTCAGTGCAATAAAAAGGGATTTAATGATTAGAAGTAATTAACCCATCCTGTCCCTGTGGGAGCGTAGGCAAACAGCAGAGTTTTCACATCTCAATTTATCCACCTTTGCAGAGGACAGAGTACAGTTTCCTGTAAATGTAGGGCCAAATGGAGTAGTCACAACAAAAGATATGATGAAATGAATAATGATTTTCATGGGAGCACAAAGGACGGGTGAAATTACGGAACGGGGTTTCTAGGCATTCATCATCTGGTTTGGGTTGTCTTGTGTTGCTTTGCATTTTGCATATAAATAAGTTTTCTGCAAGGAGGACCTTGCAGAAGTGTTACAGACACTGCCTAAAAATGACAGGGAAGAGATGTCCCAGGTCATTTGCTCATGAGTCCTCTGGAGGCAGAGGCTGGCAGTGGTGTCTGAGGTGCCTCTGCAGTCACTGTAAAGCCTAAAGAAGTTACCTGGTGTGAGCTTGGCTGGGGCTGGGCCTGCTAGAGACATGGCAATTGAATCCAAGGTCTTTACATTATAAAGTCCTTTTATTATATTTTTTTCCCAGTGCCTAAGAGCTTTTGCATGCCTGGAGAGCATTCAGATAAATTAAAATCTTATTACTCTCCTCTGGCATAAATATCAAAGTGAATCAAGCCCAGCCATGTCCTCTAAAGGAGACAAGCACAAATAATTGGAGGACCATGCTCTTACCTTCTAATATTCCTTTTCAAGCTGGAAGAATATTGACTTTTTGGATGTCACAGTGTTCTTTGGTCTAATTAACACAGAGGGACTAATAACTTTTATAACTTACCATATGCTAATGCAAATTGAAAGACACATATTGCTTAATTACAGCAATAGAACTTAATTTTTTTTATATTTTTCCTTGCCACCCGTAAACTTCCATCACTGGCACTGCACCTCCGAGGCCCTCAGCTCCTGGGCCATGGGTGTTCCACAGCTTCAGAGCATCCAGGAGAAGGAGAAATGTCATCCTGGACACAAGAGAACGGGCAAACGAGGGCAGGGGAGGGAGATCACTGCCAGCAGGGCCCGTGTCCCAGG